CTTTTCCTGGCATGTGGGTGGAGGCGGAGGTTCAACCAGGGCTGTGCTGGGTGGCTGGTGGGGCTACAGCAAAACTTGGGGTGCCTGCAACCCCCTCCATAGCCCCTTCCCAGTGCTGCTGCTTGCCCTAAGCCCAGCCCCTGCTGAGAAGAGCCCAGTGCAGTCCCCACTCCAGTCTGCAGCTACAGATTGCCCCGCCCTGCGGTGCATAGATCCAGGGGCACACCGATCCCTGCACCACTTCCCCCACCCCCATGCCCTCACAGGTGTGCGCAGCAATGGGTGCCACCCCCACTTTGAGCTCCTGCTCTGTCCTGCGCCCTGCCCCACCTGGACTCGGCTGCCCTCGGTGAACATTAGCAATGGAGAACATTGCCGTTCTCCAATTGCCATTCCAATGGAGAACAGTAAGATTCCTCTATGAGGTGGGGAATTAATAAAAATGAGGGTGGGGTAGGAAAGGAAAAGGGATTAAATATTAGTTAACTTTCACTGTACAGTAACCCTTAATTACTGGAGCATGGAAAGCTGCTTTAAACTCCTTGAAAAGCTTTGTTCTAATAGTCCCCTACCTCACTGTGTAGGGCGTTGATCTGCCCCCCCACGGCCCTTCCCTCCCCTCTTTCCTTCCACTACACCGGACTTACCAGCTGGAGGCAGCTGTATTGGAAATCGGATCAGTATCGGCTGATATGCCTCCTTAAGTATTGGCTATCGGTATCGGCCCCAAAAATCTATCGTGCACCCCTAATGAAAATCTTTTTGTTTTAGTAAGCCCAAACGCAGAAGCTCATTTTAGCCAAACGTTCTTTGTATGTATGCAGTTGTTGTAGGAAAGCAAGTTTCATAGATGTTGGGGTCGGAAGGGATCTATTAGATCATCGAGTCCGACCCCCTGCCCTGGGCAGGAATGAGTGCTGGGGTCAGATGACCCCAGCCAGGTGTCAGTCCTCTGGGTGCTAGGGCTGGCCTAATAGTTGTCTTGCACAAGGCGATTGTACTGGAACTTCACAATAAATTAATATGCTTGCATGGAGTATCCACATCAAATGGATCAGTACTTGGCCTCTTGGCGGGGGTGGGGAAGGGGGGGTTCTGTGCCTTGAGGAATTAGCAAAACATTTTACACCATTCATGTAAAAAGATCTGAAAAGATGCTTGTGGTGGCTAAAGATTAGAAGACTTCCCTCTCACCATTTATTATAGCTGGACTGAGAGAGGTGATTTACTATGATCAGCTCAATCCTTAGCACTTATTTTCTGTCAGCATTGCCTTTTTAGTCTGTCTAGATGTGATTTGCCTATGAAGAAAGAGAAGCCTGAAAATTGCTTTAAACTCTAACATTTTGGACATTAACTTATTTTGCTTAAGTTGGTCTGAGTGTAACTGCAAGGTCTGGATTTGTTTTGAAGACTGCTGTTCATATCGCATGATGAATTGCCATAGCTCTGTGTGAAAGAGTTGGAAGAGTCCTGCCCCAAGACCTGTAGTTTAATGAGAGGAATGCAGTGTGTAGATGCTTTACATTGATCACTTGTCACAGTCATAAGAAGTTGGGAATGTTCTGTTTTTTTTGATGTTATAGGAACTCTGATTGTATGCAACCTGCCTTGATCCAATAAGCTACATCATGGAAGCTAGATATCACTCAACTACTTAAAACTGGCCCTTGATCTTGGCTTTTTCATTAACAACTGTTGATTGGTTGGCAGGTTCTCCCCACAGCAGTTAGCTGGACAGAGGATTGGTGTGTTCTCCTATGGTTCTGGATTTGCTGCCACCTTGTACTCGATTAGAGTTACACAGGATGCCACACCTGGTAAGTTAACTTGGATATAGTCAGTCTCTCTCTTTCTCTGATATATGTGGTTTTGCAGCAGACGGGCTAGCATTGATAGGACTAATTCTGCATTTTTAGGTGAGAATAAAACCCAAGATCCTGTTTTGCCATGTTTTAACCCTCAAAAGGCTAATTTCGTAGCTCATTCTTTTAGCGCATTGATTAAATTAGAGGATAGACATTAAATGTCCTTCAGTGGTTGTGTAATCTGGAGACTAGCATATTCACATGCTTCTGAAATGCAGCCACAGTCTTCAGAGCAGTTGTGGTGCCTGACTTAGAGGTTTTATATTGCAGGTTCTTCTCTGGATAAAATAACTGCCAGCCTTTCTGATCTGCAAACAAGACTTGACTCACGAAAGTGTATTGCACCAGATGTCTTTGCTGAAAACATGAAGATTAGGCAGGAAACGCATCACTTGGGTAAGCAGATTTTAAGTAAACATAATTCACATTGTGAGTAACAAAGTGAACTTCTGATCCTATAAATGGATCTGTCTAGGCCCCACTCGTATATTCAGCTGCAGGATTGGGGGCTAGGAATAAAGGAAGTTCATACCTTATACAAAACTTAGGTCATAATATGCTTTACTAGCACAGATGAAGTGATGGCACATCCTTGGATCCTGGTACACTTGCTTTTCTGGTATAGATGCAGTTCAGAGGGGGACAATGGAAAGATCTTTTACGACGTAACTTATTTTTTTAATGTATTTAATGTTGTATTATCTACTGGTTTCTTTTTAGCCAACTATATTCCACAGTGTTCAGTAGATGATCTCTTTGACGGGACATGGTACCTAGTGCGAGTGGATGAAAAACACCGAAGAACTTATGCACGGCGCCCATTGCTCGGTGATGGCCCTTTGGAAGCAGGAATTGATGTTGTCCATTCAGGAATTGTTCACGAAGTAAGAATGCTGCACTTCTTTAATGCTTAAAGCAAGTGACCATAGCATTTGTGCAGGCTTGCTTGATGCAAGGGAGGAACAGGAGTTGACAGGCTATGTCCTGTTCTGTTAAAACAGAGAAAATAAGAGCCAGTAATGAAAAATGTAAACTTAAAGAAAAATATATATGTATATAGGTGTAGAACAGAGCTTTTGGTGTAGGAGAAACTAGGCCTATTTTCACATTAAGTTTGCAGAAACAGCCAGTTAAACTTGGACCAGACTAACTATTATGTCATCAGTGTTTGGGATGAGATAAAGCTGGGATTTGGGGAAGGAAGCATATTATCCAAGTGGGAATTCATTTGACACAAAAATCACATACATGATTTTTATTACGTTTGTTTGTCTTGTTTGTTTTTTAGCATATCCCAAGCCCTGCTAAGAAAGTGCCAAGAATTCCTGCAGCAACAGAACCTGAAGGTGTTACTGTTGCCATTTCCAATGGAGAACATTAAGATACCTCTATGAGGTGGGGAATTAATAAAAATGAGGGTGGGGTGGGAAAGGAAAAGGGATTAAATATTAGTTAATTTTCACAGTACAGTAATCCTTAATTACTGGAGCATGGAAAACTGCTTTAAACTCCTTGAAAGGCTTTGTTTTAATGTGGTTTGCTGACACTTCATGTAATGGTTTCATAACACTAAAGCATGAATGTATTGTGGAGTGGGGCATGCCAAGGGCTCTGAACTTGCTTGGTTTCTAAGAAAAATGGTTCTGGAATGGCTGTGTCTTGTACCAAGGAAATGGGAATTCTGCCTTCAAAGCAGTTTGAGACTTTGAAGCAAAACTAAGGCCCCCTTCGAAGTCTGACCAAAAATAATTTTGACCTGTAAGCCACACTGTTTTAATGTTAGGGTGCTTGTGTTGCCTTGTCTGAATATTACGCTTTTAGCACCCTAAAAGGATAGGTACTGCAGAGTCCTTGTTCAAGGTGCTGTTAATGGACTAGAGTTGCTTTCCAATTAGTTCAGTCAGATGGATTAAGTTATGATGTTTTAAAAATCCATTATCATCCACATCCTGGTGTCATACTCCATTATTCTAATTGCACTATAGACCCTAGTACCATACACAACTTTACACAGCAGGTTTTGGCAGAACAGGGAGAAAAGGGCATATGTTCAAAATAAAGGGTTTAATTTCCCGTGTTATCTAACCAAGCTGGCACTTTTCAGGCATGTTGAATGCACTCTTCTAAAAGACGTAAGCATTTGAAACAACAGAATTCTAGCATCCAATTCATAAATAGTATCAGGACCTGTTTTAACTGGCAGACCAAGAAAGGAAAAAAATGACAATTTTTCCTTAACTTTGGTCTCTTGCTTTTCTTTGTGCGTGTGTGAATTTTCTTACTGAATTTTGATTGGCTTCCTATTTCAAGCTCTTTATTTGTTATACAGCTATAAACTATTGCAGGAATACCATGATTTTCTTCAGCTTGCAAGCTAAGACTTGTTTGGTATGCAAGGAGAACCTACAAAGCTAATGAGGAGTCCATTAGGGCAGCTTTTGCAGGCCCAGACCGGAGAACTCTGAGGAGAGCTTTGCTAGCTTGTAAAATATATTTAAACTGAGCTAATGGATAGAACTAAGTCTTGTTAAATTTTATTTCACTGTCCAATTCTACCAAGGTTCATTGTCTAACACAACTTTGCAGAAATGACAAAATGCGTATCAAGATACAAAATGCAGACTTCTGGTGTAATGTAGTGTTTGTATAATCTATTGTATGTCTGTCACTTGTTTGGCTTTGATAACATTTTGGATTTGTACAGTTAAGAGTTGCTAAAATAGTATTGTTTACTATAAACTCATGGAGGTCAATGGCCTAAGATCTTCCACCAAAAGTGATGGAAGAATAATGCATGGAGATTTTATTGTGCAAGTGTTTGGGCTTTAAGTTTCATGAAAGCAAGTTAATGTGGTAGAAGAAGATAAGTCTGTTCCAGAATAAAGTCCATTGCTGGCAATGGACTGTCCAAGAGCTACTGGCACAAAAAATTAACCTCATAAACCTTGCTAACACTGAAGAAGATTCTTTGTAAAATAAAGTTTTAGAGATATGGCACATGTTTGGATACTGAATTGTTTGGGACTTTAAGTGGGCTAGGAGAAATGAAGGTTTAAAAGTACAAGTCCACAAGCTGGGGGGTCTTCTGGTACAAGTACCTTTTCTCTTAAGGTAGTCCTGTTTATAAAGCTGAAGAGGCAAGTAAACTGAAATACGTAGATTCTAGGGTGTACTTTGCAGTACTACTTCAGTATTTCACATAGATCTAATGGTAACAGATATAGCAATCCTGCTTTTGAAAACCCAGCAACATATTTTCCCTGTTCCAGTCCTTTAGTTACCTTACCTGAAGGAATGATGGTTTCTGTGTGCCAGTGTGATTACTTTGAGTTCCATTTCATAGGTGTACAGTCACTGGAGAAACATCTCTTCCATTTGCACTTAAACAGAGTGCTGGAAGGGGAAAAGGAAAATAGACCATATCTGGTGAAAGCAGAAGGTTGAGCTATTCTATTTGTTCTCCTGTCTTTTTATTTAGGGTCTTCAGAGTGCAGCCTTTTCATAACAGGGCACAAAGCAACTGGATTAAATAAAGCAAGGAGGAATGTATTGGAGACTACTGCCTAAGTACCAAAAAAAATCCTGCTTGGGTGTTTTTGTGGTTTGTAGTAGTTTGATATCAAAATAGTTTCCGGTTACTGTGCCTGAGGTAGCAACTAATATTAGAAGCACTAGTCTGTGGTGCACTCATGTCTTAATAAGACACATGTTTGCTCAGGTCTTTTGCATTGCAGCAGCATTGGACTACTTAGATGACACATGTTGAAGCAGGAAAATGTCAAGTGACAGATGTCTGAAGTCACGGTGTGCTTGTAATATCCCTCGTCTATGGCTGGAGTAGGCTTGGGTAGCAAATAGTTTTCTGCTCAAGAAGTTTCAGCTGTTTTATTAACACCTCATTCATTCAAGAGACCAGTAGATGGCAGTACAACTCATCATGCAAGATGGTTTGTGACTGCTAAGGGCTACTTGCAAGGTATGAACTTTGAACTTGTGATGGGATTTGCTACAGCTAGATAAATCGGAGAAAGTGCTGAGGTTTTTCAAAGTGCTGATCCTGGACTTTGGAGCACAAAGAGAGGGGGTGGAGGTAAGGGAGGTTGATAGCTTTGTTTATATTGGTCAAGGTATAAATATTTAACAGTGAAGTCCTAATATACAGCCATTTATAAATTATTCTAGGGTTAAGTGTGCAGCTGTAGGTTCTTTACGAGTAAACATTCACCGCTGTTCAGATTTTTTTTATTTTTGTCTCTTCCTGTACAGTGGTGACCTGAGCCTAAAATAGTTACCCTTTTCCCCAGTGTAAAGTACAGATCTGCTCCATTTTTATTACAAAAAACACCTTTGCTAAGCAATATGTAGTTCTTATACAATCAGCTGGGCTATTTTTAAATGTGAACGGTCATGGGGACAAGATGCTGGCACAAATAAGTCTGTTAGAAGTCAGAGTAAGCATGCCTATTGTCTGGTGGGAATAACACATTTGCAAATGAAGGCATCATTTTAAGTTTATTTAAAAATTACAAAAATGTAACAGCAGAATTTACTATGAAAAATGAGTAAAAACCCTGTGTTAAACACTAAATGTAAAGCCTGCAACGCACTCTATAAAATAGAACACAGCTTGGATGTGTGTCTGAAGCCATGGTATGACCCCCTTTTTACGTCCTGCTCCTTGGGGTCTGGTTGTGTGACAAGTGGAACACACTCCAATGCCCTTTTCTTTTGTACTCTGTGCAGAACTATTCTGTAGATACCAGTTATTGAGCTGCGAGCATCCCTTCCCCGGTTATTGTGAATATGTTCTTGTGTGATTCCCAACTCCTCTAAAATACTTTTCACTTCAGTTTCCTCCTCTTTGAGTGTATTGGTCTCTGATAAATACTTTGGATCCAGTTTAAATGGTTCCAGTGGTTGTGGATACCATGTCCCTTGCATCCATTCACTGCTCATAATCAGTTGAATTGAGTATCGTTCAGTCGGCACTGGCTGAAGGACTCCTCGAATTAGTTTCTGGCAAGGTTCTGAAAGGGATGGGGGCAAACTGTACGTTCCATCAAGAATGCACTTCTTCAGTCTGGCCACTGTGTCTGCTCGAAATGGCATGGCACCAGTCGTCATAAAATACAGGAGGATGCCTAGTGCCCAGATGTCTACATAAACACCAACGTAGTTTTCATCTCGGAAGAGTTCTGGAGCAGCATAAGGAGGAGAGCCGCAGAAAGTGTTGAGTGTTTCTTCTCTCTTACTTATTGTGCTGAAGCCAAAGTCTCCCACTTTCACGCAAGTATTACTGGTATAGAATACGTTTTCTGCTTTCAAATCCCGGTGAATGATATTGTTCTCATGCTGTTGAACAAAGCAGGACAGATCAGTATTAGTTTAGGTACAGGAAGGCCTGTCCCAGTTTTTCTTCTGTATGCTCTGAGGTACAGAAGTTGTTTGCTACGATAAAGGCTTTGCCAGTAGTTACTGTACTGTGGGTCTCAGTTACTGTTGTCTTCCCCTCCCTGCAAATGTTGGGGCACCTTTTTAGCACCCAAAGAGGGGCAGGAAAATGCAGGTAGAAATGTAAGGAATAAGGTGTGCAAACAAACTTATTCTGCCCTGTACTTCCATCACCACAAGGGAGGGAAAAAAACTTAATCAATGAAACAGAGATACGGTTGGGTATGCTGGGTCAGCGCTTGGGGCAGGAGGAGAGGTGTACTGGCTGCCCTGGACCCGTTCCTGATTTCCAGCAGTTTGAAAAACCAAAACTCTTCCTTCCCAGTTCTCAGATGTTTGTCATGGAGGAGGGAGCCTATTTCTGGTCGGAAAGGGCATGAGATAATGCAGCCCAGCCTTAACTCTACATTAACTGCGGCTTTTGTCAGAAGCTACTAGGGTTTTTAATAGTAAGACTGCTTTGTAGGAGCTACTGATCATTCAGTCCTGCCTCTAGGCTCTGTTCCTCTGGAAACTTCAGCGTGCTTCTCTGGAACCTTTCATTCATCCATGAGATCTACTAAACTGATTACAGCTGTTAGAAAAACAACTTACCATGTGTTTCACAGCAGATACAACCTGAGAGAAGATTAGTTTACTTTCCATCTCTGGTAACTTTCCCTCTGTGCTGATCTTACTGAAGAGTTCCCCTCCTGCTGCGTACTCCATTACCAGGTGCAGCTTGGACAGTGTCTCCACTACTTCGTATAGTCTGATGATGTTCGGGTGATGCAGCTTCTCCATGCTGGAAATCTCCCGGGACAGCAAGCGCTGAGTTTTCTGGTCTAATTTTGTCTTGTCCAGAATCTTAATAGCTACTTTTTCTGGAAAGAAATGTCTCTTCAATATATATATGACAAGTATCAGTTCATCCTACTAATTCAAAACACTGAGTGTTCAGTCACTTGGAATGGCAAATCTCAACTCTTCTACATACTATTCACTTAATGTGGGTTACAGAAGAGCAGCCAAGACAAGTCCCATCACATTCCACCTATTCAGAACCAAGGCCCCTACCTTTATATTTCTTACAATCTTCCAAGATGGCCAATGCAATGGTATAACTGCCAAGGGGTTAAGCTAGCTACTTATCTAGACTGCTGTCAACACCACAGTAGCACCACAGTGTGTCTTATCGTCTTGGCTGCTGGGAAGGCGTGTGAGGGAAGGCCTTACTTGAAGTAGCAAAGGTTTGTGATATGATAAGGACATGCTAAGTAGATATGTTTGCCATCTTCTCCTAGTCCCATTCCCCCAGACCATGCTTGATTACCACTGCCACTTACTGCTGCTGTTGTCATTTGTCCTTATTCAGTCTTCTGGTGTCCCAGTCTCCCCAGCCATGTTCACATAAAGACTAGAGGAGCAGCCAAGACTCTTACCCATTACTGTAATTACTTGCCCATTGGGCATGTCCACACAGTGGAGGGCAGAGCCCCCTGAGCTAGCTCCAATATCAGAAGAAGCATAGGCACATGATGCTCTGCCCAGCCTGATAGGCTCTGGTTCTCAGCAGGGTAGAGCACTGCCCTAGTATCTGGTATGAGAGCCAGCTCAGTACTGTGTTGTGCCTTATACCATACCTACTGGGTGCGTCTACATGTGGACTTTATTGCTGTTAACTAATTAGCTCTGGCGTAAGATAGTGCTGCTGGGAACTGTACTATCTTACAGGGGAGTAATTAATTGATCAAACACTTGTGTGAACAGTGACTGCCAGGTACAAGTTGTACTAGTCAGCCCAACCAGCTGGGGGCCAGATCCTGGCTCTGCCAGCCCTTCTGCTGCTCACCGCTGCCACCTGGAGCCCAGGGCTGACCCTCCTGTGCTTCCTGCCAGCCTGAGGCTGCTCCACCCTGGCTCTAGTTGCTGCGGTCCCAGGAGCACATGTAGACTCTGTGCATGAGAGCAGTTAACTCCAGCTTGAACTGCTCCAGAGTTTATTGCATCACCTTAATAGCACATGTAGATGCACCCACTGTGTGCTCTTGCGCTTCTTGCTGTGGAGAACACTGAAAAAAACCTGGACAAAGTCTTGTGGTTATATGCTATTTGTGTGCAAAATATATTCATGGTGCTGAAGCTAATTGCTCATGAGGAATAAGACAATGAGGCAGAAGTAACAACAGAGGTCAGATCTATTTGTATGTGAATCCAGCTTCTCTGTGCTTTCTGATGCAAAGACACCATTAAAACCAGCATAACCAGGTTTACCCTGTGCCTACATGATGTACCTGGTGAAGTCAAGGAACACAGTCCACTGACGTTGTAATTATAACCGTGGTAGGTCTGCATCATCAGGATACCTCTAAGCAGGAGGAACAGTTTGTTCCGTGTCCTATATTTCTGTATTAAGCATTGGATTGTGACATCTTTGCATCACTACACTGAAAGCAGTTGCATTCAAATGACTGACCCAATCAAGCTAGGCTAATGGTATCTTTGCATCATCAGAACAGTATGCTCTTCATGTGTTCTCTAA